AGTAGTAGTAGCAGTAGTACTAGTAGTCGTAGTAGTAGTAGTAGTAGTAGTAGTAGTAGAAGATGAAGAAGAAATCAGAAAAAGCAGCAGCAGCAGCAGGAGGAGGAGGAGTAGTAGTAGTAGTAGCACTAGTAGTAGTAGCAGTAGTAGTAGTAGCAGCAGCAGCAGTAGTAGTTGTTGTTGTGGTTGTAGTAGTGGCTGGGATTGATTCCTCCCGTCCCCTCCGCAAATCCAAACCTTCCCGCACTGCGCAGTCTGCCGCAGGCCACAAGGGCATTTGCATCAGGTCGGGGTTTGGAGATGGCTGGCAGCATGTGTTCACTGATGGTTCGCGCTTCGACTCCGTTGGTTCAGACTTCGCGCTTGCTGGGTGGTCTGCGGCCGCTCATATGGAATGCTCCGGACGGCGCCCCGTGCCCAACTATGTGCGACGAAAGGTCGCAGCTCGATGCGGCTTGGACGGATGCTGGGAATGTGGCTGATGGCATCCATGCGCTTCAAAGCGGACAGTCCCTGCCGGATGCCGCGGACTCTGATCTTCGGGCCGACTTGGCTCACCTGCTTGAGCAGCTGGACAGCTCCCGCTTTTTGGTGCGGCACATGCCGTCACACTCGGACAAAAGTAGTCTTGGCAAGGCCTCTGTGACGTTTTCACCTTCGAACGGATCGCCGTGGGCCGCGCCGCCTTCGCTGTGCACCCGCACCATGGCAAGTCCTCGTAGCTCCACCAGAAGATCAACGGATTGTGGAGACACTGCCAGTCACTGCCATCCATGCACACCTTCAGAAAGGCCCGTGCGGCCCGAAAGTTTTAGTTGTTCGGCCGATTAATCCAGATGCAGCACGCGCGCCGCGCAATAGATGCTGCTGAATAGCGGCATCGCGTCTGTGAAAGGTTTGCAAATCCTTGCGGCGCTCACCAAGAACCCAGCCCAAAAGACGCAAAAGCAAAAAAACTATCATTCCACAAGCGCGTTTCGGTCAAGGACAGATCTTCCTTCCTCTCGCTGTGGCGCCACAATGCCTGGCAACGGAAAATGCCTGCAGTGCTCAGCATGGTAGATGCTCGCAGGACAGGTCGGAAGACAGACGCGGTCTTGCTCGCTTGGCTCGGATGCATGGCTCTGAAGTGCTAGTTCCATTCGCGCGATCAGTAAATATGAACCTTGCGATCGCCATAGCCAACTGTGATATGCATGGTTGAAGACGTTAGATCGAAAGCAAGAAAAGCGGAGAAACCCCTGTGAGGGTGCATTTGGTCTGTCGCGCTGGAGTGCTTTGCTTTGGTGTGTGATTCTGTTCATTGGTGCCAGGATCTCCTGGTTTAGTAGGTGCTTCGTGCCTTGCTAAGTTGGAATCTATTCTTGGTTGCTGACTCGGCCTGGTTCCGGAGTGCCTCGACTTCTGTCATGCTGCCGAAGCACAGTGCAGTGTGCGAATTGAAACTACCACGGCCGTCCCAGTATAAACTGAATCAGACACTCTGTGCTGCTTTGCTTCGAGAGGCATAGGCCTTGGTGAGACCAATATTCTGCACCAGCCAAGAGTTCCACTCCGTTACCCTCATGTCTTGATTGACCTGCCGTGGAGGCCACTGCATCACAACTCTTGCATGTTTTCCCCTAAGATCATGCCAAGGACAACTGCTCGTTCTGCACACTCGGCTCGACGAGAAAACAATGCAACCAGCTGAGCTGAAAGAAGCATTCTTTCAAAAAGTGGGGCCTCGAAGATTGGGACAGAAGCAGTCTCGACGAGCTGCGTTAGACCGGCAGCTAATGCTTGGGCCTCCTGCCTCGCACCAAGGAAAGGATTTTGGGCTGTGACATGTTCCTCTCGATTTCTACCCGGTACGCGCAGGCCCAGCATTCACGAGCCAAATTCTTAGCTGACTCAGTCAGAACGCGGCACTTGTTCCTGCTATGAGGCCGCGCACAGATGAGGGATCCACAAACCCCCTGCCTTTGCAGCATCAGCTCTGTGACGTCCTTCGCGGAAACCCAAATTAAATGGAAGCCGTGCAAAACACGTGCAGAAGCAACCCATTCGGAACTTCCGCCGAATGTCCTGACCGATGCAAACCGCTCCGCATATCTCTCCATGTCTGTCTCGAAGTGGCCTGGCACCTGCGGCATGTCTCCCTGTCGAGTACTGCCACTACAGTCGGAGATGTCGAAAATACTTCATGCACAGGTTGGCTAGACTACCACAGTCTTCGCCGAGCAGCTCGCCGCGATGATTACGAAGTCTTGTGCTTCATCCTGCAGCGGTAAAGTGGTAAACGTCAAGGCCAACTTGATAGTGCACAAGCCACACCATCTCAGGAAGCACGGCCTCCATCTTCGAGAAATGGAACTGTGCAATGCCAGTAGCATTGTCGTCAATAGCCCCCATGAGAAGCTCCACAGCCTCAGATTTCCCGCAAGCGTCACCCATTCGGACCAGCTGGCCACTCCCTGGACAGTGAGAGACATGGATCCATGAAAGCGAACCGTCTCAAGGCAAATTGAAGCCCCAGGAGCGAAGTGCTGCCATTGACTTTCCTTGCCTTCGGCAAAAAGCTCTGTCAGCGTCTTGCCCCTCAGTACCAACACTTGAAGTTGAAACGAAGACTGACACAGTGGCACAAGTTCTGCTTGCAGCTTGGACGCCTTGCCAACTCCGGTGTCACCCCCGTCAACTCCGAGATGCAGCCATTCCACTCATCGATCTGAGTCGTTCAAATCTTGATGGCGTGGGACTACACAGCTTCTAAGTTCTGTGCCTTGAGGCTCGTGGTCACAGAGAAGATAGGCACGCTGGCCTTTTGGACCCGCAAAGACGACTCACACAAACACGGTAGAGCTTTTGCAAGAGGTCTCCAGGTAAACAAGGCAACAGGCCTCCCGGATCATCCGTTTTAGGTCTGCTGCTGCCGAAACTGCGAAATCACGTAGCGCAGCTGCCTTCGGAAAGCAGATCAAATTTCTAAAGCGGCCTGCACGAAATCGTGACCGGAGCTGCACTGAACTCTGCTTGTGGAAATCTGCGAAGGGTTCCTGTGATGGTCAGTGAGATAACCTCAACAGGCTGTTGTTTACAGCAGATTCACATGCGGGATTTGGAACGTTTTCCGGCTTGCCACGACTGCGCCAATTTGCTACGAGCTGTCCCTTTTTGATTTCGAGGCTGCGATCAAAACTCACTGTTTGTGTCCAAACAGCCTCCCGTTGCCCCCCCCGTTTCGGTGCCATCTTCTGTTGCCCACGCCGTGTACAGCTGGCAGAGAAGTTAGCAACATTTGCAGAAAGTTGGTCGGAGCTGGCCATTTGCAGTCTCGGCATGCATTGATCTCGGATAATGACAAAAGTGAACTACTTGCAATCCTTACGAGAAAATGAGCGAAACCATTTCTGCAAACATCAAGCAAACAACCACCACCATCTGTAGTTCCACATGCCAAAGGTACGGACGACCCTTTTTTCGCCGTCGCGGTGTAGATTTACAAGCTACCTCGCCATTCGGCGTGCAGGCTCATAACCTGAAGCTGGCGCGGGTGCGCAGACCAGCACCGGCACGCTAAGGTCCGACCACCGCCGAAAATCCCAGCAAGGGAGGTGAGGGTGGGTTAAAAACTTTGGACGTCGCGTCGTCGCCCCATAAGGCTTAATTACACCGTTTGCAGCTGTCATTGCACACACAAGTATATGTTTCGCAACAACCGCCGCGCTCTATAGCTTTAGACGACAAAACGTATGGACGATCTTTCCTGTTCGTCGTTTGAAGATCGGATGCCGGGTGCGCAAGTCAGCACCACCCAACGCACCCAGCCCCATAATGGAACCACATCGTTGAGGAAGAAAAAAGGTTGTGATCCACCGCATAGAGGAAATGCGAGGATGTACATGATGTCCGACGCCAGCGCCTGGCCATATTGCTCGGTAAACACGGCTTGACCGGCTGTATTGCCAATGAATGCCGTCAGGGCACCGGGCAAGCGAGCCGGGACTCCAACTTTTGGAAAGACTAACGTGGCACCACGACGCCCGCCGCCCAGCATATATGGCGTTAATACGTTGTTGCAGAACGATCGAGTCAGGAACGACACTTTCCCAATGCCGCATCTGGTCCAAGATGCGCCGTACTGTTTCAGGGTGGCCTGAAATTGACGCCGTCTCGAACACGCTCGAAGCACCCCCCCCCACGACTTGCACACCTCGATCAGGAACCCGAGCGCCGCGAAGAGTTTCTCGAAGGATGCGGCCGCCAACTCCTCGAGGCCGTCGATCGACGTAGTGCTCCCGCCACCAGGAGGAGGAGCCGCAGGACGTCCTCACAGGGCAGTGCTGCTGCCGCCACCAGCCCGGAGCCGCATGTTCGGCAAAAACAAGTTCGGAGGCATTGCGTCGGTTCCCACGACAACGTGGCCGAAGTTCGGCGGTTGGAGGCGGAAGGGCAGCAGTCAATGCTCGAATCCGCTCGAATTCCCATTGCCCATTGATGGGCCATGTGGCGAATCCTCGCCTCCGACCTATCTTGCAACAGCGGAACGGGCTCGGGGAGGAGTTGTGGAACCAGGGGAACTTTTGTGAGCACCGGGGTCTGCCACCTGTAATTTATTTCTCTCCTCCTCCCTATATACCTGCTGTGCCGTCTTGTCTGCTGTTGCTTTTGGCCCCTCGTCATCACTTCGTCGTGCCCGTAGCTTTTTTCGTCTCCGACATCGACGCGACCACCTTTGACCCAAGGCTCAAGCGGGCCTGGGCAAGAACATTCGCCGCGTTCCCGCCGGTGGCTGGTGGCAGGTGGCCGGGCACACGTGCACCATTTCGCCGAGCTGGGATCACCTTTCGAGCGGTGCTCGGGCCAGCATCAGGTCTTGAGCCCTCAGCGCAGGTACCTCGACGAGCAGACCTGATCGAGTTCAACGCACAAAGAGCTGTCGGATGTGAGTCCACCCGTCGCTCCTTCGAGTCTATGGTCATCACTGGTTGCAGACGGCGGCGCAGAACGCCCCGCCTGCCGAATCAATTCGGCGGGCTCACATTCGAGGATTCTGTCCTGTGTAACCGCGTGCCGTGCCACGACACCAGATTTCACAGTCCAGGAAGGCCGGCGACGCCACCATGCTTCCATGAATATAGACTGCTTGGGAAGGGGTGGAGACACTGGGGCGCTGCACGCCGCCGCAAAAAGGGCCGAGGCACCCGTGAATTTAAAGGTGTCGTACTGAAGCCTCTCATGTCTCATGCGTCGAGCAGGCGTCACGCTGCCTTTCACCCGAGCACCAGGCGAGGTCTGACAGACCTCCCATTCTTTGGGGGCGGCAGGGGGCGCCAGCGCGTTGGGGTTGTGGACGGCTTGGTCCTGCACCGTAGGCTCTTCATCCATGAAAAGCGGGGCGGGTGGAAGGAAAGGCACCGGCAGGGCCTTCTGCAGGCTCGGGCTACAACAGCCGACGCCACTGGCATCGCGCCACTTGGCGGTGCTGTCGGAGGGGTGCATGGCGCCGCCTCCTTCTGCGTCGCGTAATCCAAAGCTCTTCTGGAGCTGGACCGGAGCCGCCGAAGATGCCCAAGATGCCGCAGCCATAGCCGGGTGACCAATCCAGTGGTGGCAGCGGTGGCAGTGTACGCGCCGCGGCCAAGGATCCACTCGAGAGGCAACCCAGCTGAGGAAGAGTCCGCCGGTAGCGTCATCTTTGGCGTTGGTAGCACCGTCGGGATCGGAGACAAGCGGAGACGCCGAGAACAAGGAAGTAGACGGCGGATCGCCGTGGCAAAGGACCACGTCCCGCCCCATTCCGTGGGGTGCCACCACCCGAAGTGCTTTCGGATGCCAACCACTGGATCAGGCCAACAATCCGCTTGTTGATGGTGACGTCGTCCCCTCCGCGATATGTCCAAGGCCGCCGTTGCCGGACGGCCGCTTGGCAACGCCGTGCTGGGCTCGTCGACAGCAGGTTGCACTTCTTCCGCCGAGGCATAGCTGCCTTGAGGATGATGCTCGCCGCTGCCGCCGCATCGTTGAGGTCGGCGATTTGGTCCGCTGTGAGCAGGCCCATGACAAGAGCCCATCCCACGCACCTGGGCCGAGATCGCCTCAACCAGCACCATCGTAAGAAACGCTAAAATTGCATGACATCATGGACGCCGCCGCCGGCTAGTTCAAAAATTTTGGACGTCGTGTTGTCGTGTTGTCAAGCCAGAGTGCTTAAGGCAGGTACGCCTTTGCGGTCGTTACTGCACACGCAGGTGTGTTTCACTATAAGCAAGGTTTCATGGAGTCTAGTGTGTGCCCTCCTCTCCAATGCATCACAAATTCGGCCTGCATCACCTCGTCTGTCCGCCGGTAGGCCAGGATGATGACAGAGTGGCTCATCTTTGCCAGAATGTCGGAATACGAGTAAGCTGCCTTCCGCGTTGCTTTTTGCCGATCCGACACCATGATACTGATGAAACAGCTCCCAAGAAGCCTGCTCCACAGCACTCGAGATCAGACCGAAGACGGCCTATGCAGAGTGCACACAGGGCGTGAGTTCCATGCTAAGCAAATCATACGGCCATGCGGGCACTGATGTTTCTGCTTGCGGCTGTGTTTCGCCCAGGTATATGCACCCATAGAAGCCGAAGATAAGCACCTGTCGATAGCTCAGCCCAGACTTTCAGCGTTTATCGTTGTTGCCCCCAAACCCACCTTGCCAATCTCTGCTTTGCAATCCTATCGCCCCGAAATGCCTGCTGATTCCAAGTGCCTTGAACCCCCAAGCAAAATGCCTGCAATGCGAGTAGAAGGTCAGTCCAGCCGGCCACCTCAGAGCCCGAACAAACACAACGCAACCTTTCCTCATCTTCACTGCAAAGCTGCCCAGCTCATGAAAGGCGATTGTTCAGAACACCTTCACTGGCACTGCACATTGTACAGTCGGGACCACATGGCCAGTTCCAGGTATGTTGACTAAAGGCCGCGATCCCGCCCTGCCGAAAACCATGCCGAAGAGGCGTTCAGCTGCGAGCGCTGGAAGAAAAGCAACATCTGTTCCATCGATGCCACGATGTATGCAGAGAATGCAACTGCTATGAGCACCTCGAGGCCGTGCCAGGACTCCACAGCACAGCATGATGCTTGCATGGTGCTTGCAGGCGATGAGCAAACTAAATACCCAGTTGCGGATCAGCCACCCACCTCGCAAAATGGCTGTCCACAACCAAAGCAAGCCTTCCAGGGCCACAGGCCGCTGACTCTGGTGGCTCAACAAGTGTCTCGCTTCATGCAGTGCACCATGTTCCGACAGACCAGGCAAATTCCCAAGCAAACCCGAGCGCTCACATTGAATCGCGCGTGCCGAATTCTGTTAGCTCTCGCGGGCGGCCTATCTGGCACATGGAACTCCAACCCTGAACCCACCCCACCAGGAGGCCACGATGTACATGGATGTCAACCTGGCCGATGCTGCCAACGGCATCTGTCTGAAGGCCTTCCAGGACTCAGGAGTTCATGAGAGCCATCATAGGAATAACGTTAGCAATCACGAGCCAGGGTCTTGTTTTTGTTGTGCTAATTACCATCCTTGCTACCGTAGTGACTGCTGCTGTAGCTTGTCTTGCTATGCTCTTACCATTGTCGTAGTCTTTTGCTGCTATGCTCTAGCGACTCTCCTGCTTGTCCACAGGCTCTGAAGGCATAATATGGCGCCGGTCTTGGGCCGCCGTCTCGAAGTTAGGTGACCGCGGACAGACCACTGAAAGGAAACTTTTCTAAGTCGGATCACCCAGCGAGCCTGCGTGCAGAAGCCTAAAGAAGGGTGCTCCAACGACGGGAAGAAAGCAATATCTGAATCATCAAACCGATCGCTACTTACCAGTCTTTGTTCCATAGACCTCTTGTCCAAAATAGCTACACCATGTTCCTGATGGCAGAGCCCCCACTGGGCCTCCATTGTGGCCAAGATAGTGGCCTGAAGTCCTACAACTGCGCAGTATCCAAGCTGACGTGATTCAAGTCAACTGTCGGAGAGAGACCACTGCCAGTCCATGTCGAAATCGGTACCAAAATCGTTCTTGCCCTCGGTGCCGTCTGCAGCAGCGGCTAAATCACTGAATAGTCGTTAGAGTTTACCCTTCCGACGACGCGACGTTCTAGGTGGCATGTAGTGTCGGCCCCCACCGCATGCACCAAAATCCCAAACAATTGCTAAATGGATCCCGAGCTGCTCGCCAGGGTGCCAAGCTTTCGATGATTGGTGAGCTTGGTAGTTTGCAGCCAGGTCTCAAAGGCCTCAGACAGGTCGGAATGGAAGTCTATGAACAAGAACGAGAAACACTGCATAAGCTCGCATATTATGCCCTTCGGCTGGCACATGAGACGTGGTGGAATCTCTGCTTCGCAAGCATCTACATGGCTTGCACAAGGTATCAACAACACTGGCTGCAACAGAGACACTGCATCGGCTGCACTGGCTGAACCACGAGGGTTTCCAGACACCTTGTAGTCCATCTTGCAAACGATACTAGCGAGCATAGTAAGACTGTACATACATGGAAGCCAAGCCATGATCTGAACAAATATGATGCTTCCCTGTGGGACGATGGAACCACATCTGCCAAAGCTGCCTGGATTTTGTGTCCCATGGCTTCAGCACTACACTAGTCGTGAATTTCGCTCTTGCCGACGGACTTGACTACGACCGCTGGAAGGGAAAACCTACGATCTGCTCTGGCGTACACGCAAAGGCACTCGCTCGTCTCCAACCACTTGGTAAACTTGATGTGGAAATGGCCACTCGATTGATCTGTTCTGTTTGAGCAAATGGATTGCACCCAAGGAGCCATCATGAGCATGGGGACGTTGACGCACCACTGAAGATAGCGAATAGAATACCTAGTTTCCGGCTTTGCGAAAATGCCACGAGCTCTTGCATCATACGAGGAGGTTGCCAAGAAGCTCTTTGACGGCTTCAAGATCAGGGCTGAGGCCCCGGGTCCGCATCAGATTGCAAGTCCAAGGCACACCGGCCGAGGCCCTCCGATGCAAAGCTCGTCCGTGTGCACCATAACGCCGCCAAACGCATGCATCATGAAATAGGAGATCCTTACTTGCGGCTTCGGCTCTCGAAGCTACGCGAAGCTACGCCTAGGGCGTAGGGCTTGAACAAGGAGAAATCATCGTCACACTCAACTCGATGGAACCGTCCAAACGAGTCTACGCACACCGCCTTCGACGCAAAGAAACAAGCCACAGAGACCTGAAACGATATGGGTTAAGGCCACAGCACGCGAGCACGATGTACGTCACGAGCATTGCAGTGGCGAATGGGCCACCACTTATCATCCCACCATGCCTTGATCGGAGTGCATCATCAAGCCCGCCCATCAAAAACTTCACAAGGCCTGTCCTTTCTGGTGACATGGAGACCGAATTGCGTTGGAGATAGGGAGGCAATGCCGGCCGTATATAGTTTGAACAAAACGCTAAAATGACATGTTGCTGAAAATGCATCAAGAATGGGGTGCGGTGCTTGTCGGCTTACAGCTTACCTGTTTGGCTTATCGAGGCCGTGTCACAGACCAGCGGTGCAGAACACATTGGCGGCTTCGAAAATCGCTGCAGCTCCTGTCACCCGCTGGCGGCATGCCGTCTTGTCATTGGGCTGAAAATCTGAAATCTCAGGTTCAGAAGCTTGTATCAACTTATATCCGCTAGACCAAGGAGGACCAGAGTCCGGCAGAATTTCACGACCCTGTGACCGCTGTGATATTCTTCCATATTCTTCCCGCAGACATTGGCAACTGCAGTGGAAACATAGCAGAAAGCCTGGAACAAAGTAGAAAGCGGCCTGTCGCTGGGTAGGCGAAAGAGAAGGAGCGCATGATGGACGACGTGCTTGCACCATCTTCCGTGAACCACCTAGCACCATTCAAAACTCAGGTTGGTGGAGACTCACTCTCTTGTGCTGAAAGTCTGCAATGACAGCTCTCCATCATCGGGGTGGTGCCTTGATGAGATGCGCAAGGTTGAGATTGTCACAACGCAGAACCTGTGCTCTGTGCAGTGCAGCTCATATGAGCGTTCAAGCGGCTATCCAGACTAGTGACACGAAAACCAGAGCCGTCGAGACATCATTCCAAGTCTTGACTAACAGCGCGAGCTTCCGCCATCTCTCCTCCATCTCCATGGCTGGCAAGAGCACATGAAAAGCTCTGCCAGTCTTCTTTCACAGGGACTACGGCATCAGGGTAAGGTTTGGAAGGGACATGACGAGATGGGCTTGGGCGTTCGTTGATAGCTTGAACGCCTACAGCTCCTGCGCACTGATTTCTACCCTGCGCGACCTGTCAGCATATGTCATCATGAGCCATGTGGCTGCATCGGGAAGCAGCATTAGCTTCTTTCCACACTGGGACCACCATACTTGCGAAGGACGGATCAGAAATTGAACATGCGTCCCACCTGCTCTGCCAGATCATTCTCCAGAACGAGCCTTCGCATGGTCGCAGGCACATACCGCTTCTACCATTGCCCGTCATGCAGTCTGCAATGAGGCTGTCGATGACTTCTGACATGCCAAGCCCTTCCATATATCTGAAGCCCAAGACAGCCGAAGGCTCGACTCAAGTGACGGTAGCCTCTGTCGCAGCTTCTCTGCCATTTCCCGTGCCTTCTCCTGCTGTGGTGCAACTTACAGCTACCAGGTTGAATTTCGTGATTCCAATAGAGCGAGACCGGTGCTGACACTCTTGAACCATCATCAGCGCGTCCTTGTGCTCCTCGAGCTCGCGCTCCCTTGTTTCAAAGGTGGCATCCTCTGATGCTGCCCTCAGCTTATGCTCAAACTCATGCTGTCTCATTGAAGCGATCAATACTCATGACCTCATCTGCATCAGGTGTGCACTAGTGTTTAACTGACGACAGACAAAAGCAGTTCCAAGTCGGCAGACCCCTCTGACAGGGAGATGGCTCGGGCGCGCTTGGTCGCGGCATCCTGAGAAGGAGCTCACATGCACGAAGCATCGAAAAACACCGCGAAATGTGCTGCAGCCTCCTCCAGCTCAGCGACCTCGCGCGAGGTTTGTTCCAGCAGGTCCTCCAGGCTTGAGTGTCTGAGACCCAAAAGTCAGAACGACAGGCACAAAGCGAAATATCTCAAACCGAGAAAACCCTCGAGACTCACCGGGTGTGTGTCGGAGCCTGGGCACTTGGCCTGCAAGTTCATAGTTCGAAATCGCGCAGCACACACCATTGTCCGGCCATGAGCAAACATTCTGGAATGGGCACCACGACAGTTCTGAGGGCAAAAGGGCTGCAGGGTAGTTTTTGAAGCCCTGCACGGTACCAGCAGTTGGGGTTATAACATAACCCGTAAACTGTGTTGTTTGGGATCCTAGCTGGATCGCGCTGGGTCGCAGTACAACTTTAGTACTAGACATGCCTCGTTTGGAGTCTTGGCTGGATTGTGCTTGGTTGTAGTACGACCTTAGTACTGGAAATGCCTCGTTCGGGCTCCTGCCTGGATTGTGCTGGGTCGTAGTACACATTTAGTACCAGAAATGCCTCGTTTTGAGTCTTGGCTCCTGGCTGGGTTTTGCCACAGTCATGGCGTTATCGGCGGTGTTCTTGTCATTGTTTTTCCACAGAGGATTTTTCAAAAGCCAAGCAGGGACATGACAAGACTACACACTGAGGCGCGGGGTTATTACAACCCCATTTCTGAAACTTGAAGTTGGATCCGCTGTGCGAGATCTGTGCTCCCTTCTTTGCAACCCCCGCCGGTGCTACCGCAAGGTTTCGGGTATCTCTCAACCACGCAGGCAGCCGAGGCGGGAGAAGCCGACACTCCAAAAGCTAAGCTCAGCCTTCAAAGCTTCAACTCCGCACCTGCAGATGGCCCACTGAGGTGCGTGTCAGCACCACGTCACGGAGGGTCTGCGGCAGGCCATGAATTTTACATGACAAAGCCGAATTGGCCAGTGGCACCTCTTGGACAATCGATGTGAAATCCAGTGCCTGACAGGGGGCATGAAGAGTTGAATGAAGAAATACCGAAACACAAAACGACCCTTACAAATTGCTAACGCATGCCCTTCTCCCTACTCTTTGCTCAGCCTTCAAGGCTGCATAGCTGTTCTGTAGTTGCTGCTGTCCTGCGGCATCTTGTGGCCACCTCACAAGCTATTCTACTCTTGGCACAGCTTGCATCTCTCTCTCTTGGATCCAAGTATATCCAAGTACAGACCATCGGAAAACGCAAGCCGGGATCGCGAAGGTGTCCGCAGAACAGGCTGTCATTTACGGCGGAAGGGCCTGGGATGCTGTTCTCCGCGCCGCTGCAGACGTTGCAGGCGGAGCTGTGCCTTCGAACAGCAGGAAGACTCCGAATCCCGCACCACAGACCGGATCAAGCACGCAAGTATCGACACAGAAGTGGGCCTCTGCCTGGAAACAACGCAAACGCCAGCTCTGGGCCTCCAGCCTGTGTGCATCTCAAAACCCACTGTGACAAAAGCTACCCGCATTTCAATGGAAACAAACGGCAGATAAAATCAAACTTTCTGCTCGGGCACTCAGTGGCGCATAGCTGCTCTGCCACTGCCAGCTTGGCCTGTCACCGATGTTACAACCACGACCGTCACGACCGCACATGACATGCTGTCACACCCCCGAACGAAGGAAGCCAGAGATCCCAAAGATCCGGCCTCCCCAAACGAAGTGAGCCTCATGCAAGTCTGCCCATGATAATGGACACGGCCACTAAGCTTCGCGACCCTTGCACAGGCCGGGCACCCAGGCCTGATGGGCTCGAGGGCAGCAGTCATCTCCGACTGACAGAATACCCTGCGAGGTCCGTGGATTCTTCAATCTGTGGCTTTGGAAGATGCTCGACTCGCTTGATTCGAATGCAAGAGCAACTGTGGAAGACCGAAATTGCAGAGAGCACACGTTGTTGCAAATTTAGAGGTCAACTCCTTTGGCCACACAAAAGGTCTAGCACACGGTATGCACAGGCCTTGCAAGGGTGTCGCTTCCATGGCAAAAGCAGAAATGTGTCAGCTAAAGCACGGCACTCCGGTTAAAGTGAACAGTCTTTTAATGACTAGTGTCAGTATCTTATTGCCAAGATCTGTCTATTCTCTTGAAGCAACTTTCAGTGGTACGGTGCGGGCAACGCACATGAATTGATCCAGGTCGGACCTGTGTCGAACTTCGTAAGGTCGCATGCACAAGACGACATCGGATCTATAAGGACATGCGTTTCTTCACAAAGACGCCACACGAGGCTCTGTCAAACCGCATACTGCATCAACCGCCTCGCTCACTCGAGTCCTTTGGACACGGTGATAACATCTTGCGGCACTGAAGCTGCAGTTAAACAGACGTGTAGACTGGTTTGAGCTGATGCCCTGCATTCCATATGTCAACGCTCGTTGTGCAAACATTGCTACCTTGCAGCAGCCGCAAGTCACATAGTCACGGCGATCAAGAAGTCGCCAGTTCAGAGCTCAGCTTGACTGGACGCACGTTGGGACTCTGGCCGCAACACGATTTTGAGGCTCCATTTTCGGATAGACGTGTGGCAGAGCCGCAGGGTTTTCAAAAGCATCCTTGCGACAGGAAGCGACCTGTGCAAGCAAGATCTGCCTGCTTTGGCTCCTTAGACGCAAGCCATTGAGCTTGCTATAATCGGGAATCGGTGAAAGATCTACGTTTGATCTGGGGCCGCAACGACCCGAAAGGTGTTGGCTCCGGGTTGCAGCCCAGCGCGAGAGAAATGCACGAGGAAATTACGAGGAAAGCCTCTTCAAATAGATGACTTTATTGGATGCACACGGATGCACTGACGGGTACATCCCTTCACTATCCACGTCAAATGCCAGGTCATCTTTCTACGAGGCACCTGCCTCACATTCCTCATCCTGAGAAGACTGGCCCGAGCGCTGTGTGCTGACATGTGGCAGCCGAACTAGATTCTCCAAGCCTGCTAAAGCCCGAAACCCAGAAGCTTCCCTGTTCACATGCTGAGTGCCGAGGCTTCGCTGGCTTCGTGGGCCAAGATCTCCTTCAACATTCGTGGAATTTGATCCTGGCAGCATGTCACTCTGGTCTGCCAAGCAGACAGACAGTCAGGATTTCGGTGAATTGATCGCAAACAAGCATGGCCAGGTTGCCACGTAAGCCAAGGTCAGAAGGATTGGCCTGCAACAGCAAAGTGCTTATCATGCTGAGAGCATAGAAACCAGAATTCCAAACCTAGACTGAGGGTGCAACCGAGTTCTATAGTTAGGGGAGGCCGACTCAGGACAAGGCAGCAAGTCGAGCAGCTCTGTGTCCTGTGGATCATGCTTCCACCTGTGATCGGAGATGTTCAGACACCGAACACCAGTCGTGGAATCCCGGTCAAGTCGCTCAAACACATGCTGGCCACACGTTCTTATTGGAATGGCATTCTCCGGCTGCAGAGCATAGCAAACTGGCCTGAGCACTCAATCAAACAGACTGAACATCCGATAGTATCAAGCGAGGCTGAAGTGGGTCAACTGACCTTCAAGACCTTGCTCTGAGTCTTGGGTCCGCGCATGTTGTCAATGATGATCACCTGCCGTAACAACATTAGCTTACAAAAGTGCCAACATCAGGAAAAGATCCTGCCAGGTCTGCGCCTGTAGCTAGACGTGCCATGCTGGGTGTTGTTTCTTTAGGCAGACGGACCATGGCAAGCACGCCGAGGTGACATCGTTCAGACTTCGCCCGAGCAGCGACAGATCCTGCAGATGCTGGAGCGATTGAGTCACTCCAAGCCCCAAACCCCAAATGCAATTGTAACTCTATGGACAGCAATCACCAAGCGAATTCTTGCAGCTGCACAGCAATTTCCTTGCAGCGGTGGCAGTATGTGGCTGCATGTGGTTGCCTCACTTCACCTTCTGGATGCCAAATACTCCCATGCAAAGACAGCGCTCAGTAAAAAAAATGCATGGAGATGTCCATGTCATTGGATGGCTGGTAGATACAGACACCGTAGATGGATAAGGGACCCACCCACCCACAACTGATGCACTTGGCCTAAGCCTAAGCAACAGGGCTGGTTGTTGCCCTTCGGGGGTCTCTTCCAAGATCCCACGTACGTCATCTCGGCTGGAATGCCACAGGGGATGTCACAAGGTACAGTAAAGTGGCGTG